GATGTTTTCGATGCTCCTTTAAATGCATCTGAATTTAATAAGTTAAGAATCTGAGTCTGGGCTCTGTAAATATATTTGTCTGTCAATTAGTTTATTGCAGTACTTTTGTTGGATGTAAAATATGTTGGCCAAATTTTTACACTGTTTTAAGATCTACTCAAAGTTTGATTTCTTACTGATTCCAGCAATCAAACTTCAGTGAAAAGAAACATTAATAAAGTTTTCAAAGCTTCACTTCAAAAGTGTATTTCAGGGGCACCTGGGTGGTGTAGTTGGTTAAGTAGCAGACTCTTAGTTTCGGCTCAGGTCCTGATCTCAGGGTCCTGGGACTGAGTCCTGGGTCGGGCTCCACACTCAGCCTGGAGTCTGTTCTCAAACAGACTCTCTCTTCCTCTGCCTCTCCCGTTTGTGCTCTCTCTTTCTCTCTCTAAAATAAATAAATAAAATCCTAAAAAAAATAAAAACATAGTTCAGTAAAGTAGATTTTGATGAAATGTCAGAGGTAAATGACATTTGGAAAAATGATAACAATTAAGTGAAGTTTATAATTTATAGGTCTATATATTATATTGAACAATATTGAGTAAAAAAAAGAAATCACTATGCTTAAGTCAGCATCCAATGGTTCTTATTAATATTGATTTTCTTTCATTCATTTCAAATATATTTATTGAGTGTCTTCTGATATTAGTTTGTCAATGTCCTTTTAAAATAAAATGGTCTATCAGTTTTGGAGATGGATCATCATTTTTAAAATATTTTTGTAAGAAATCACCTTGTCAAATAGAGGCACCTTAATTTTTATCTCAGTTTTTATTTTAAGAGAGGAAGATAAAAAATAAATTATTTTACAGCCTACAAGATCCCAAGCATATAATGATTTGAACAATGTTTCTGAGGTAGTACTGCCAGAAGGACCATTAATGGTATTTGGAAATGTTGTTCATCAGTGTAATAGAACAATGAGAAAATAATTATAGCTTGTATCACACAAAGAAATGAACACTTTAGTGAGATGAAGCAGAATTAAATACATTCCCTAATTGGGGACTTCATAGAATGCCACCAATCAAGTGCCCTACAGGGACAAAGGCACAGAGAAAAGCCTCCCCCAGGTTAATCAATAAAGCATGCTATCAGCATTTTGTAGGTCACTTTGGAGAGGAATAAAGTCTCCATATATATTCTAATAAAACAATTTCTTTCCATTTATAACTATAACCTATGTTTATAATACAAACTATAAACTATGCAGATGACAGGGGATGATAATGTTATGAAGTAAAGTAGGGACTAGCAGAATAAATAATGCCAAAAATAAAGAAACCAAAATGGACTAGTAATTTATTTTTTTAATATTGGCTCTACTAGATTAGAGTTCCCTCCTCTTTGGTGAGTAAGTGGGCTATAGTACTTTATCACTGTATTTTTTTATATTACATATATATATGGATTGTATAGTGAAATACATTTAGTTTCATCAGAGAAAACAGTTCATTTATTAGACAAATTTTTATCTTTATTTTGTCCTCAGTTTAAATTTCTGTGCACATACACATACACATAGGGGGGACCGAGATATAACCGAACTAAAAAACTATGTCAACCCAACTGATATTTGTAATCAAAAACATATATGCCCCAAACTTAGTTTCCTTTTGGAAAGGTAAGTAATGTACCTTTTAGAATACTTACATTAAAAAGGCTTATTTTTCACTGATGGGCTGTATGTTACACTCACTCATTATTGCATAAATGCCACTGTGTTTCCAGGACCTCTAATCTTCTGTGGTCACTCAATACTAACATCCAATGACGAAACTTTTGTCCCTACATGTCCCACATGTAGGAAGTCTCCCCATTCTTTCCAGGTTTTCCCAGCATGTTTGCTTTCTCCTGGCCAGTCTCCATTTCAGGCTAATTTTTTTTGGACCTTGGTTTAAGAACCTTCCTACTCTTGCTTTTCTGAACACTGTCTTCAAGCTCTTGTCCCCAGGGTAACTTAAAGATACGGGTGCTGTGTGAGGCAGAGTTTTCCTGAACCATTGAGTAACAGGGTAGATTATTTCAAAGCAAAAATAGGAAAATAAAATGAAGGAAGCTATCTCTAACACTGAGTAATTAATGCACTGGTCCTAATTATTTATCTTTCATTTCTCACCACAAGTATTTTTAGTTTTCCTTCACCCACTCCCACTTCTCTTCCTTGGGCCCCAGTACGTCCACATTTACTTAGGCTTCTGTCCTCTCAATTACCTGTCAGCTTCGAACTCTTAAATTCTAGTTTTCCTTCCTTCTCTAAAACCAAGTTCTTAGTTTACTTTTGTGTATTACAGCAAATCAACAAACAAATGATGAAAACATTCGGTTCAATCTCAGCCTAACTTTAGCAACATAAAGTTATTGGTCTGTCTGGCCTACATCTTTTAGCAACTGAAAGAACATGATGAGTCTTTGAAATAACAGAGCTCTACTGTTCTGTTGTTGGTGAACAGGATGTGATGTTATACTTCCTCTCCTTAACAGCCATGGTTAGCAGAAGAAAAAGAGCATGAAGTTTCCTTCTCTTTCCCTCTGGCCTTTTACACTCAGTCCACAGAAACTCTTCTGAGGTGGTTTCTGTATTTTTTTTTTTTTTCCCACTTTCAAAAACTCTTGCATGAGAGAAACTATTACAGGAATCTAAGAATTAATAGGTTTCCTCAGTTTGAAGGCACAATGATAGAAGTGTATTTTTTTTTAAGATTTTATTTATTTGAGAGAGAGAATGAGAGAGAGAGCATGGGGGGGGAGGGTCAGAGGGAGAAGCAGACTCCCCGCTGAGCGGGGAGCCCGATGCGGGACTCGATCCCGGGACTCCAGGATCATGACCTGAGCCGAAGGCAGTCGCTCAACCGAATGAGCCACCCAGGCGCCCGAAGTGTATTTTGATATTTGCCTCTTCGAAATGGCAGTCACTAACCAATATGTTGTTTGAAAATGGTCCCTAATTCCCACCTTATCAAGTGCATTTAATAACTACATTCAGAACTCCTTCCGTCTGGCATCTGTTTCTGTCAATATAGATAAATAAATACGTGAAAAAACTGTAGAGGTGATAAAATACTATTTGTGTATCTATTCTTTTATTTTTTGAATTTTGAACATATTCAGTCTCAATATACTTTCAAGTAAACAGGCATTTTGTTAACAGAATTGAATAAATTACAAATCCAGGTGGGGCATTTGGATGTTGAAAAAAAAACATTAATAAATGTAGGAAAGATTTGAGGTAGAAAGGAGGTCATTGAAAAGAAATTAAGCCAAGTGAAGTTCTAGGTTTTTATATGGCTATTTAATTAGGCACATTTAAGTAGAGGGGAATAGGATTCTCTATTAGAATAACTTTTGGTTTAAGTAAAAAAAAATAGCCCAATACAAACAGATTTAAACAATAAGAATATTAACTGGCGCCCACAGATAAGAATCTAGGGTTATCTTTAACCACTGGCTCCAGCTCTTCTGTGAAATTCTCTTATCACTGCCCTTCTCCATATGGCAGCTTCTTTCTCATGCCGGTACCAGTTCCAGGCCAATATTTAGGCAACTGCAATGTGCAGAAGGAAGAATTTACCTCCCAGTTGTTCTCTTGAGAGAGAGAAGCATCTAAAACAACAACAATAACAATAAATCAAATTTCCCCCATATTCCCAAACACATTTCTCTCACATGCCTTTGGCTGGTAGGGTCACATGCCTTCCTGTGTGAATCAAATCCTACCACCAGGTTAATGCCATGGGGTGATTAGCTCCAGCCTAATTTCATTGAGAACCAATCAGTGGCAAGCACTACAGCATTATCTTAAGATTAATCATGAAAAGTTTGTTTGTTTTTAATTTTCTATACTTTTGTTGCAAAGCTTTCTAAATTCCACTGATTTATTGCTCAAGGATAATCTGTTCTTTAAAGCTGTAAGATGTTAGTTTGGCCTGATTTGGTTTGAAGTTGGGTCCATCATCGGCTTAGCAGCCAGTGTTCTGTGAGTTTGGTTACTGTTGCAGCCATGACTCACTGTGTCTAGCTGTTGGCCAGGACATTATGGAAACTTCTGAGTCTGCACCTTGTGATGTTCCATATGCTGTTGACCAGGTTTCCTGTAGTCTAGACAGTGGCCTGAGGGCAGATCATTTTTGTTATTATCTCTTCCTTGAACCATCATATGTAAATATTGTTTCTTTGGAATTTGAGATTGTCTCAAAAAACTTCTCTTCAGTGTATTTGTGTACAAGTGATCATTTAATAAGCTACAACACTGGATATTTAGTGTGTGCTTGTTATCTAGTAAAGCATATCTTGGAAAACATTTCATTAATTATATTACTTGCCACTTTATTATCTTTAGTTTTATATAATACAAGCAATTCTTTTAAAAGCATAGTTATCACTACGTTTTGCTTGAAAAATACGTAATATCCAAAAATGGCCTCTTATTAGATGGTAAAATCTGCTAGCTAATATACCAAGTGTGGGATTTTCTTTTATTTGAAATAACTGTATTATTTAATGACATCTCTCTGTGTATCTATCTATATCTTTCTCAGAGACTGTTGTATCACAAGTAAAAATAAGATACAAAAACTAAATACAACTTAACAAATAGTCATATCAGAGCTGAGTCGTTCACTTTACAAACTAATTTATTATAAGTTGCCCTAGTGCCTTTAACAAATAATCTGTTTACTGTAATTTCGTTTAGGCAATTTCTTTTCAGGAATACCTTAGTTGCCTAACCCTTAGTACATTTGAAGATGCCATTAATATTTTCGGAAGGAAAAGAAAACAAATCAGTCTCTGTTCTCTGGAAATGTAAGATTATATATATATATATATATATATATATATACACACACACACACACATATATATATGTCATTTTTCCCATGTCATTTAAAAAAAATTGTGTGTTGTCCTCATTACTGCTTAGTCACATGAAGACATTGTGTCCTATTTTTTTTTCCTTTTTTAATATGGAATGCTTCACAAATTTGCATGTCATACTTGTGCATGGGCCTTGCTAATCTCTATATCATTTCAATTTTACTACAACATGCTGCCAAAGGAAATACTTCTTGTTTTTAATCAAGGGGTTTTTATGTTCTTGTTAGTCATAACTACTCTGAGTTATGTTAGGAGTTTCTTATTTCCCTGTGCTTATGGGAGAAGGTAGTAGAAATTCCTGTAATACTGGGGGGAGGGGAATTCCCTCTTCTACCTCCTTTTGCCAGGGGAATACCAGGAAGAAACCGCTACTAAATTTTTAGGAGCACACCTTATTCCCAGGGATTCCTATCTATTTCTTGGGAACTCTGTTATTAGAATCAGCATTGGAACACATGGAGCAATTCATTGGAATGAATACCAAGCTGACAGTTATATTTAAGTTTCTGAGAGATGTTGCAAGTAATATAGAATGCTGGAATTGGACCAGAGACTAAAGTATTAGTATTGTCAAATGGAATTTTCTAATAACATTTTAGCTTTAAAATTCAGAATCAATATTTATTGACTCCAGACTATAGATCAACATAGAGATGGGCTTGGTTTCATTCAAACACCTGACTCCAAAATCTTCAGGCTCCTGGATATGTTGTTCTATCTTCATTTCTTGTGTTTTCAAAGCACTTCTACAATTTCACTAGAAAAAAAAAATTGACCTAATCCACAGAATCACAATATTCCTATTTGTCACAGTTTTTGGAGATAAAAATTGGTAAAACATATTTATTTCCTGATTGAAGTTGTAATATTTAGGTTTTATGCTACCAGTTTCCAGAATAGAACATTTTTCTGCCAAAGGCATTGTGTTGTTCATATAACTACCAATCTTCTCACCTCCCATATCACTACTTACTATTTTCTTTATGTGAGATGCTTTGTGATACTTATAATAGTTCAGATCAGAGGAATTTGCTGTCAGTTTTATGGGATAATGTGTCTGAGATTAGTAGTTTTATTTTTTTCCCCAGGTATTTCCAGTAAAGTAAACTGACACCTACAAGTTCCAATATCCAGTGGCAATTAGTCATTGCTGTTTTGTTACCTAGAGGACACGATTCAAGTTTCAGCAAGTTTTTGTCTTTCCCACATATATTGTAATATCATCTATTCTATTGGCAATGTCTCTAAATATTAGATCATCTAGCTTGTGTGCTTCATCATCTTGTTTCTGGGAAATTAAATCTATTTGAGAATATCTTTCTTCACTAATGTGAAATAAGATCTCATTGATAATAAGCTGATGATATATAGTTATCAATTACAGGTATAAAATATGTAAAATTATATTTTAAAATCTGTTACATTAAAATGTAATCATTAGAATTTGCATACAGAAGAGTAACGTAACTAAAGAACTTTACACTTAATGCAATTATTCTTATAGATCTAACAATCCTGAGACAATGATAATTTTGCATTATCCTTAACACTCCTACCATTGTGTGTTGGGTGTGGTGGGGGAAGATATCTTGTCTTGTGCATCAAATGCAATCATTCTTGAGAAATCTCATCTGTACCTTGGCCTCATTTAGTTTGAGATTACGGACCATGAGCATCAGCCTGATGATACTATAAGGAAATGAAAGCTCTGTAGGGTCTTGGGAAGCAGCAAAGTAAATTTGCATGTGGAAGAAATGTAGTTTGTGGACAGATGCCAGATTTGGGTGGTTTGAAAACGTGGCCACAAATTCTTTGGTATTTTCCCATCAAGAGGTGGGAATATGTCCTTTTTCCTTGAATATGGGTAGGATGACAGCCACAACCAATAAAATACGGCAGAAAATGCTATGATTTCCCAGGCTCCATCATAAAACACCAGGCAGTTTTTGCCTTATTCATTGAAACACTATGTGGGAGCCTTAAGCTTCCATGTAGGAGGACTAGCTAACCTAATGTGACCATGCCCCAAGGAAGCCCAAGCCACATGGGACTTGTGAAAGCAGTCCCAGTGCAAGAATTTCAATTGACAGACTTAACTGAGCCTGGCCTTTGAATTCTCCAAGTTCAGTTTTGTCACATATGCATATGAGAAAGCATCCCGATGATCCTCAGCCCCAGTTACTCGCAGCCATTGAAATGTTCCCAGTAAGTCTCAAGATATCATGAATCAGAGACAATAAGCCAGGCCTACTGGCACTCTGCCTGAATTCCTGACCTATGATATCCATGAACATAATAAAATATTCATTCTTTTATACCACCAAGTTTGGTTTGATTTGTCATGCGATGCTTGGTAACTGGATGACATACTCAGCATAAATCAACAGAATGAAGTTCAGCTTCCGAGGATCTATTTCAGTTCAAAACTATGATTTGAAATTTCAGGTGTGATTTCCATCACTTGGAAAATTAAAAAAGAAAAAATCAAAAAACAAAAAACTTTTCCCTCACCTGGACTTAACAACAGTATATATCTTTAGTAAATAGGAACTTTACATTTTTAATCATAAAAGATAGTTGTGTATTTTGTCTTAATAATAAATATTGACTGCTAATTAATTGTTTTATTTGAGTTCCTTGGGGCTCATTTATTTATTTTTTTTTAATTTAAAGATTTCATTTATTTGAGACAGACTGAGTGAGAGAGAGAGAGAGCATGAGCAGGGGAGGATCAGAGGGAGAAACAGACACCCTGCTGAGCAGGGAGCCTGATGTAGGGCTTAATTTTGGGGCTCCGGAATCAGGACCTGACCCTAAGGTGGATGCTTAACCGAATGAGCCACCCAGGCAGGGGCTCATTAACTTTTAACACCCAAACAAAGAAGTCTCTCATAAGGTGTTTAATATGCAATTGTTTATATAAGAAAGGGAAACTGAACCTGAATAAACTTTTTATTTTCTGTTCTTCCTGTTTTTTTATCTGACTTCTATTCTAACCCACATCTCTAATAAAAATGATCATTATCTGGCATACATAATGTGAAGAATTTTGGAGTATTAAATCCCAGAATCTAAAGAAAATAAATACGATTTTTTTCTATAAGAAAAATAACATCAAGGTCTTTGTCATAATTCAAGCAGATACATATACTGGCTTTCCAAAAATTTTATATAGTTACATACACACATACATTTATTTGTTTTACCTCTTAAGATTTAAAGAATGTCAATAAGATCTTTCCAAATCATTAGAGGTGAACAGAAATGATATTAAATATCAATAAACTTTGAAAGATATTGGCTAATTATATAGATGTGGCTTTATCCAAAATTTAAATGAATAATTTAAATATAATATAATGAGTATTCAAAACCTGCATTTGGAAATGATGATCAAATGGAAGAAATGTTATTTATGCAGAGTAGGAAAGAATTGGGATTGCACAATGCTGTACAGTCTTCCTCAGAATGAGTACTGGCATAAAAAAGTCAAATTCTTTTGGAATAATCAATTGTCATAACTCAGTTGTAATTAGTATAGATTGATTGCATTTCATTAAAGCCAAAACTATTTTCCCAAATAACTGTCTATAACTCACAATTACTAAATCTCATTGCCTATGGTGAATTTCATAGTGATTTGTTGAAACAACTGTGTTCTAAGAAAACACTATTTTCTTTCTTCACCATCTTTCTCACTGAAGACGGTGCTACACTTGTCACCAAAGAAAAGCATCCTAAGGAGGTTTCAGTGGTGTCATGTGATATTGGCTCAACTCTATACCATATGAATTGAATGAATATGTACCCACCTAACCTATATATACACATATGTAAGTTGTCTTCTCCAAAATCCACATTGTATTAGGTCATCTTAAATATAAAGCAGCATCTCATCTCTAAATAACAAATAGCAATAGCTTAAAAGGAAAGTAAACCTACAAATGATTGAACATACTATGTTTTTAAATACAAATTTATAAAATGTTAATGTTTTTGTACAAAAAGCAATATATTATAGGGAAATAGAATAGACCTAAAAATACCCCACATTTAAAATATTGCTTTCATCACATTTAGCAGTAGAAATTTTGGAAAACTTTCCAGTATTTTGAGTGTCCCTTTCACTACAAAATGGTCCTATCATCTCTCAGCGTTGTTGTGATGGTTTATGAAGGACACAGGGGCAGAGTAAATACTAAATGAATGTCAGCTTTTTTCTCTTTTGTTCCTTTCTTGGAGTAGGATCAAAGCTTAATCATACTTATATACTCTAGTGTCTTGGAAACAGTGGACATGAAGTAAATGCTTGTAAATTATATTGACTTATTCAATTTTTACAAAATTTTAGTCAGGTATTTTTGGTAATTTCCACTTATATTTTAAAACAAAAGAAACTCATAATTTCCTCATATAGAGAATACTAAATATTTTCATGTTAATGAATCAAATTTATTCCAAGATTTTTAAACTACATTGATATGATCATTATAATTTAAAGTATTAGAAGTTATGAAAGGGTAAATACAAGTGAAAAAGTAATATCCATAACAAGATAAATAAAGCAGGAGCATATCTAATTAAATTTTAAAATTTTCTTCCTTTATCCTTAACCCTGAATTATGCCCATGAAAAACAGCAGATTATGCAGACTAGCAGATAATGATTTTATCAAATTCTACTTTTGAAAGGATGACTATCAGCATTTCCTATATAAATTATTCTGCTATTTACCATCATAACATTAGTATAATTATTACTCTTTTAAAAAATTCATTGATTTTATTCAGTGTATATTAAGTCCTTATCAAATAAAAGGGGGTATTTAGTATGCTTACATCTCCATTCACCTTCCAACTTCCAAATTTCGGTGATTGTATAATTTTTATTTTCTATTAGTTCATTATTCATTTATTCAAAATTATTTACTGAGCACATAATATATATCAGTCATTATTCCACAGCCTAGGAATGCAACAGTGAACAGAACAGACTTGGTGTCCACATGGAGCTTATATTTCAAGGGAAGAGACAGATACTAAAAGTAAATGAAGTAATTACGAAGTGATGTGACAGACACATCTTGCCTTGTCTTTCTTGTCTTTATAGAGAATACTGGTGGTGCCAATTTTTTTAAAGATTACTTATTTATTTATTTGACACAGAGAGAGCACACAAGCAGGTGGA